CCAAACAACAGCATCACTAAGAGTGTCACCTGGATAACCACCAGTATAACTGGGAGAGCTACAGAGTCTCCTAAGCAATAACAATGTCGCTGTGTGCGAGAGTGAACAAATCTCTTAAGCTGCAATATCATGCTGGTGGGAGTATCCCAGTAAACAATTGTCATTATCCACAGAGCTGTTTGTGAGAGAGAGTTAATGTGTGCCAGTGACTGAGTTTCTTAGTGAAACCTCATTGCATCTTGTCATGGATGTGGTTCCCTGTCACTGCCCCAGTGCAGTCCTCACTGCCTCAGGGCGGTTCCCTGTCACTGCCCCAGTGCAGTCCTCTGTCACTGCCCCAGGGCAGCCCTCACTGCCCCAGTGCAGTCCCCACTGCCCCAGTGCAGCCCTCACTGCCCCAGGGGGATGTACGTGGTCTCCTTTCACTCTTCCGACCCTCTTCATGGGGAATAATGCTGTGACCAGATTCCTGGCCAATTGCATAACTAGGGCTGTGAATCAGGCTTTAAATAGTGGGCAGGTTCTGAGGAAGAGCCACTAGACCCGAAACATTAATTCTGATTTTTCTCCAGAGATGCTGCCAGACCTGCTGAGCTTTTCCAGCAATTTCTGTTTTTGTTAGTGGGGCAGTGGGTTCTGTTGCATGGAAAATTATGGAATAAGTTAGAAGTTGGGGGACAGCTCAGCAGAAGTTCCAGAACAAATAACAGGACAGAGTATGGAAAGGGTCAGAAATTTAACTTCAGGGACAGCTAGGAGAAGGGGGACAGTCAACGCAGGACTGAGGGTATTGTGTTTAAATGCATGCAGTGTGCAAAGAACAAAAGAACAAAGAAAATTACAGCGCAGGAACATGCCCTTCGGCCCTCCAAGCCTGCGCCGATCCAGATGCTCTGTCTAAACCTGTCACCTATTTTCCAAGGATCTGTATCCCTCTGCTCCCTGCCCATTCATAGATACATCTTAAATGACGCTCTCGTGCCCGCCTCTACCACCTCCGCTGGCAACGCGTTCCAGGCACCCACCACCCTCTGCGTAAAGAGCTTTCCACGCATATCTCCCTTAAACTTTACCCCCTCACCTTGAAATCATGACCCCTAGTAATTACCCCATTCTGGGAAAAAGCTTTTGCTATCCACCCTGCCTGTACCTCTCATGATTTTGTAGACCTCAATCAGATCCCCCCTCAACCTCCGTCTTTCTAATGTAAATAATCCTAATCTACTCAACCTCTCTTCATACTAGCGCCCTCCATACCAGGCAACAATCCGGTGAACCTCCTCTGCACCCTCTCCAAAGCATCCACATCCTTTTGGTTTTGTGGCCACCAGAATTGTACGCAGTATTCCAAATGTGGTTGAACCAAAGTCCTATACAACTGTAACATGACCTGTCAACTCTTGTAATCAATACCCCGTCCGATGAATGAAAGCATGCCGTATGTCTTCTTGACCACTCTATCCACCTGTGTACGAAACCAGGTAAATGAGCTTGTAGTGCAGATTAAAATTGGTGAGTTTGACATTGTGGGTATCTCAGAGACAGGCTGCAAGGTGACCACGGCTGGGAACTAAATATCCAAGGATACACGTCTTTTCAAAAGGACAGGCAGATGGACAGAGGGTGCGGAGTTGCCTTGTTAGTACGGAATGAAATTAAATTGATAGTAAGAAGTGCTATAGAGTTGGAAGGCATAGAATCTGTATGGGTAGAGTTGAAGAACCTCAGAAAAAAAAGCCCTGTTGGGATTTGTGTACAGACCTCCAGCAGTAGTCAGGATGTGGGAAGAAAATAAGTCCAGAGATAGAAAAGGCAGGTAAGAAAGACCCTACTACAATAATCATGGGGGACTTCAATATGCAGGGGGACTGGGAAAATCGGGTTGGTTCTGGATCTCAAGAAAAGGTACAGGCATGCTTAGAGGATTGGAATGTCTACAAGATTTTTTTTGGAGCAGCTTGTGGTAGAACCCACTAGGGAACAGACACTTCTGGATTTGGTGATCTGTAATGAGACAGGCTTGATTAGGGAGGTTAAGGTGAAGGAACCCCTAGGGGACAGTGACCATAATATGATAGAATTCACTGTGCAGTTTGAGAGGGATAATTTGGAATCAGATGTAACAGTATTGCAATTGAATCAAGGTAACTACAAAGACACGAAGAAGGAGGTGGCCAGAGTTGTTTGGAAGGAGAGCCTAGCAAGGAAAATGACGGAGCAGCAATGGGAGGGGTTTCTGGGGGTAATTCGAGAGGCACAGCAGAAATTCAACCCAAGGAAGAACAAACTAACTAAGAGGAGGATGAGGCAACCATGGCTGACAAGGGAAGTCAGGAACAGAATAAAAGCAAATGAAAAAGAATGCAGTGTGGTGAAGATTAGTGGGAAGCCAGAGGATTGGGAAACCTTTAAAACCCAGCAGAGGATAACTAAAAAAGCAATGGGGAGGAGAAGATGAAATATTAGAATAAGCTAGCTCATAATATAAAAAAAGCTTGCAAGAGTTTCTTTAGATATCTAAACGGTAAGAGAGAGGCAAGAGTGGACATTGGACAACTGGAAAATGAGGCTGCAGAAGTAGTAATGGGGAATGAAGAAATGGCGGAGGAACTGAATAGGTACTTTACATCAGTTTTCATGGTGGAAGACATCAGCAGCGTAGCAGAACTGGTAGAGAGTTGGGGGCAGAAGAGAGTGTAGTGGCCATCACTAAGGAAAAGGTGCTAGGAAAGCTGAAAGGTCTGGAAGTGGATAAGTCTTGCAGACCAGATGGGGTACACCCTAGAGTTCTGAAGAAGATAGCTCAGGAGATTGTAGAGGCTTTGGTGGTGCTCTTTCAGGAATGGATAGACTCAGGGAGGGGCCCAGAAGACTGGAAAATAGCTAATGAAAGAAGGGAGGGAGACAGAAGACAGGAAATTATAGGCCAGTTAGCCTGACCTCAGTTTTTGGTAAGATTTTAGAGACCATTAAGGTTGAGATTGCAGAGTACTTGGATGTCTGTGGTAGAATTGGGCTGAGTCAGGACAGCTTTATCGAAGGGAGGTGACGCCTGACAAATCTATTAGAATTCTTTGAGGAGGTAATGAGCAAGTTAGATATAGGAGAGCTAGTGGGCGTGATGTATTTGGATTTCCAGAAGGCCTTTGACAAGGTACCACACAGGAGGCCGCTGAATAAAACAAAAGCCCACGGTGTTAGGGACAAGCTACATGCATGGGTGGAGGATTGGTTGACTGGTAAGGCAGAGAGTGGGGATAAAGGGGTCTTTTTCAGGATTGCAGCCGGTGACTAGTGGAGTTTCCCTGGGTCAGCATTGGGACCGCAACTATTCACTTTATACATTAATGATCTGGACGAAGGAGCTGAGGACATTGTTGCTAAGTATGCAGATGACACAAAGCTAGGTGGAGGGCCAGGTAGTGTTGAGGGAGCAGGGAGGCTGCAGAAGGACTTGGACAGGCTGGGAGAGTGGGTAAAGAAATAGCAGATGGAATACAGTGTGGGAAAGTGTGAGGTTATACACTTTGGTCGGAAGAACTGAGACATAGACTATTCTCTAAATGGGGAAAAGCTTCAGAAATCTAAAGCACAAAGGGACTTGGAAGATCTCGTTTTGGTTTCTCTTAAAATTGAAATGCAGGTTCAGTTGGCAGTTAGGAAGGCAAATGCAATGTTAGCGTTCATTTCCAGACGGCTAGAATACACGAGCAGAGATGTACTGCTGAGGCTGTATAATGCTGTGGTCAGGCACATTTGGAATATTGTGAGCAGTTCTAGGCCCCGTATCAAGGGAAGGATGTGCTGCCTTTGGCGGCGGTCCAGAGAAGGTTTACAAGAATGAACCTGGGGCTGAAGGCCTTGTTTTATGACAAGTGTTTGAGGAATGGTAGGGTCCTGGGGAGTGTTGCTGAACAAAGAGATCTTGGGTACAGCTGCATAGTTTGTTGAGAGTGGAATCACAGGTAGACAGGGTAGTGAAGAAGGAGTTTAGTATGCTTGCCTTTATTGGTCAGTGCCTTGAGTATAGGAGTTGGGATCTCATATTGCGGCTGTACATGACTTTGGTTAGGCCACTTTTGGCATACTGTGCATGAAAATGTTGCTACTTAGGTCCCTTTTAAATCTTCCCTTCTCACCTTAAACATATGCTGTCTAGTTTTGGACTCCCCTGCCTGGGGAAAAGACCTTGACCATTCACCCCATCTATGACCCTTATGATTTTATAAACCTCTATAAAGTCACCCCTCAGCCTCCGATGCTCCAGGGAAAATATCCCCAGTCTATTCAGCCTTTCCGTCTAGCTCACACCCCTCATGTTGAACCTGAGCACCCCAACCCTCCTCAGGATCAGCGAGCAGGCTCCTTATATTCTAGCTACAGCCACAACATCCTGTGGCTTAAAGTGTAAAAGGATGTCAGCCATATACCCAGATCTGTCTTGGAGGTTAGCTCATTTCTAGGAGCCCCATAACATCAGGAAAAATGGTGGGGGATAGCAGGAGGAGCCACTCCACCCAGTAGCTGATGTGTTGTTCCAAGAGAGGCGGCAGTGGATAGGTACCTTCTGTAAGGATTGTGGGTCTTAGCGGGCAGGAGGCAGGGTGCTGTATGACAGTGCCACCGGGTTCTCACTGTGGGAGTTGGTTAATTCCCCTGCTCTGTGACAGTGCCACTGGCTTCTTGCTGTGGGAGTTGGTTAATTCCCCTGCTCTGTGACAGTGCCACTGGCTTCTCGCTGTGGGAGCTGGTTAATTCCCCTGCTCTGTGACAGTGCCACTGGCTTCTCGCTGTGGGAGCTGGTTAATTCCCCTGCTCTGTGACAGTGCCACTGGGTTCTCGCTGTGGGAGCTGGTTAATTCCCCTGCTCTGTGACAGTGCCACTGGGTTCTCGCTGTGGGAGCTGGTTAATTTCCCTGCTCTGTGACAGTGCCACTGGGGTCTCACTGTGGAAGCTAGTTCATACTCCACTCTAAACTGTGCCTTCCCTTTGACAGGGTCACCAGGACATGTCCACAATGGTTTACCCACGTGATGAGAAACTCAGTCAGGAGGACATCATTTCCAACACTAAGGTGGTGATGCAGGGCCTTGAGGCTCTGAAGAATGAACATAACTCCATCCTGCACAGTCTGTTGGAGACCATCAGCTGTCTAAAGAAGGATGAGGAGGCCAATCTGGTGCATGAGAAATCGAACCTCATCAGGAAGTCTGTGGAGATGATCGAGCTCGGTCTTGGAGAGGCTCAGGTGCCAGTGGAGGGAGGGCCTTGGGGCAGAGGGGCAAGAGAGGGTGTGATAGAGAGAGGGGGGGGCTGGAGTTGGAGTTGGAGTGGGAGAGGGAGAGAGTGAGATCAGAGATGGTGGGAGGGTGAGAAAGAGGGGGAAAGCAAGAGTGGGGATGGGGGGAAGGTGGTAGAGGTTTGAGGGTGAGGCCCGAGATGGAGTGGAGGTGAAGCCTGTGACCCCAGGCCCCTGGTTGAGAGGCTGAATGTCACTGCTTTTCTGCCCATACAGGTGATGATGGCTCTGTGCACTCACCTGAACACTGTGGAATCAGAGAAACAGAAGCTGCGAGCCCAGGTCCGCCGGCTCTGTCAGGAGAACCAGTGGCTGAGGGATGAACTGGCCAATACCCAGCAGAAACTGCAGCGAAGCGAGCAAACGGTGGCTCAGCTCGAGGAGGAGAAGAGGCACCTGGAGTTCATGAACCAGCTGAAGAAATACGATGATGACCTTTCTCCTTCTGTGAGTCCAGGGACTGGGGATCCAGCAAGGGTTCCTATTGCACCCAGTATTACTACTTCCTGAGCCCCCATTCCCTAAACAAACCCCTTCTCTGAACCCCTAAATCTTGGCCTGAACCCCCAAACCCCTTGCTTACCACCAAATCCCCCTTTCTCACCCCCACCCCCTCATCTCAGTCTTAAGTTAGTGCCCCTTAATTCTGAGGCTATGCCCTCTGGTCCTAGACTCCCCCATGAGGGAAATGTCTCCTCAGCATTTACCCTGGCAAGCCCGTTAAGAATCCGAGATGTTTCAAAGAGATCACCTCTCATTCTTCTAAACTCTAGGGAATAGAGTCCAACCATTTTAGCCTTTGCTGATAAGATAGTCCCTCCATCTGGAGCCAGCCTGTTCCTTGAAGAGTGAAGGATAAGGTCTGCAAGTCCGGGAAACCCTGGGTGTCAACGGAATTTGAGAGTTTGATAAAGAAAACGAAGGAAGTATATATCAAGGACAGTGCATTAAAAACAAGGGAGGCCCTTCAAAAGTAGAATTTTTATTTATTCACGAGATGAGAACATCACTGTCCAGGCAGCATTTATTGCCTGTTCCAGAGGGCAGTTAAGAGTCAACCGTGTTGCTGTGGGTCTGGAGTCAAATGTAGGCCAGACCAGGTAAGAATGGCACTTTCCTTCTATAAAGGAGATTAGTGAACCAGATGGGTTTTTCTGACAATCAACAATGGTTTCATGGTCATCATTAGACTCTTAATTCCAGATTTTTATTGATTTCAAATTCCACCATCTGCAGTGGCTGGATTCGATACTGGGTCTCTGAATTAACAATCCAGTGATAATACCACTAGGCCATTACCTCCCGTGTTTGTTGGTTGATATAGACGTGGTGTGCTGAAGGGTCTGTTTCTACACTGTATGACTCTGTGACTCTATACCAGGGATTATCCCAGTGAATCTTCTTTGAACTATCTCCAATGAAATGGTACATTTCCTTAAATAATAAATGAAAACTGCGCACAGTATTCCGGATGTGGTCTACCCAGCACCTTGTACAGTTGCTGTAAGACTTCCCTACTCTTATATTCCAACCGCCTTGAAATAAGGGCCAACATTCCCTGCGACTTCCTGATTACCTGCTGTACCTGTGTACTAGCTTTCTGGGTTTTACGCACAAATATCTCCCAAATCCTTTGTGCTGCAGCTTTCTGCAGTTTCTCCCCATTTAAATAACAGTGTTCTTTTACTCTCCCTTCCAAAATGAACAATGTCACATTTCCCACATTATACCCCATTTGCCAACCTTTTTCCCACTTAGTTAGCCTGTCAATATCTAGAACATAGAACATAGAACATTACAGCGCAGTACAGGCCCTTCGGCCCACGATGTTGCGCCGACCTGTGAAACCAATCTGAAGCCCACCTAACCTAAACTATTCCATTATCATTCATATGTTTATCCAATGACCATTTAAATGCCCTTAAAGTTGGCGAGTCTACTACTTTTGCAGGCAGGGCATTCCACGCCCTTACTACTCTCTGAGTAAAGAACCTACCTCTGACATCTGTCCTATATCTATCACCCCTCAATTTAAAGCTATGTCCCCTCGTGCTAGCCATCACCATCCGAGGAAAAAGGCTCCCACTGTCCACCCTATCTAATCCTCTGATCATCTTGTATGTCTCTATCAAGTCACCTCTTAACCTTCTTCTCTAACGAAACAGCCTCAAGTCCCTCAGCCTTTCCTCATAAGACCTTCCCTCCATACCAGGCAACATCCTGGTAAATCTCCTCTGCACCCTTTCCAATGCTTCCACATCCTTCCTATAATGCGGTGACCAGAACTGTAAGCAATACTCCAAGTGCAGCCGCACCAGAGTTTTGTACAGCTGCAACATATGACCTCTTGCCTCCGAAACTCAATCCCTCTACCAATAAAGCCTAACATACCGTACGCCTTCTTAATGCTATCAACCTGGGTCTCTCTTTAAACTGTTCATATCTCTGTCGCAACCTACCTTTCCACTTATTCTTGTCATCTGAAAATATGGCTACATTACATTTACTTCCTTCCTCCCAGTCATTAATATAAATTGTAAACAGTTGTGGTTCCAGCACTGATCTCTGTGGAACCCACTGGTTACAGGTTGTGCTTGACAAACTTGCTGGAGTTCTTTGAGGATGTAACTAGCAAGGTGGATAATGGGGATCCGGTGGATGTGATATATCTCGACTTCCAGAAGGCATTTGACAAGGTGCCACATAAAAGACTGATCCAGAAGTTTAGACCACGGGCAGTTATGGCTAGAGTATTGGCTGGATAGAAGATTGGCAGAGGGTGGGGATAAATGGGTCCTTCTCTGGATGGCATACTGTAACTAGTGGAGTGCCGCAGGGCTCAGTTCTGAGACCTCAACTATTTACAATCTTTATAAATGATCTGCAAGCAGGGACAGAGTGTAACGTATCAAAATTCACGGGTGCTATTAAAATAGGCTGGGAAAGCAGGCAGTGCTGAGGAGATAAAGAGTTTGCAGATGGATATTGATAGGCGAGGAGATTGGGGCAGAATCTGGCACATGGAGTTTAATGTGGTGTTATCCATTTTGACTGGAAAAACAAAAGGGCAAATGATTATTTAAACAGGAAGCAGATTGAAAGTGCATCAGTGTAGAAGGAATTGAGGGTCCTTGTGCATGAGTCACAGACAGTGGGACTGTAGGTGCAGCGTATAATAAGAAAAACAGATGGAATCCTGGCATTTATTGCAAAAGGACTGGATTATAAAAGTAGTGTTAGTTACAGTTATACAAGGCATTGGTGGACACAATACTCCAGGTGTGGTCTCAGTTTTGGTCTCCTTACTTGAGGAAGGATGTGGTGGAACTGGAGGCAGTTCACAGGAGGTTTGCCAGATTGTTTGCAGGGATGGAAGGGCTGTCGTATGAAGAGCAGATGAATAGCTTGGGCTTGTACCTAACGGGGACTGATGAAGTGAATGACCTGTGGGACAGTCTTGAACAAGAAGTCATAGAGTGAGAGGATATAGGTTCAAAACTGAGATGAGGAGAAATTACTTCTCTGAGGGTTGTGAATCTTTGAAGCTCGCTGCCCCAGAGTGCAGTGGAGGCAGAATCAATCAACAGATTCAAGCAAGAAATTGATATGTATCTGATGAAAAGTGGGATAAAGGGCTATGGGGAGCAGGCAGGGAAGTGGAGCTGAGACCAAGATAAGATCAGCCATGATCATGTTAAATGGCAAAGCAGGCTCAAGGGGTTGTATTGCCTACTCCTGCTTCTAATTCCTGTGTTCCTATATTTGTCCAACAATAGACGTTAGGCTAATCAGCCTAAAGTTACCTGCTTTTTGCCTCCTCCCTTTTTGAATAGATGTGTCTCATTGGCAGCTTTCCAATTCTCTGGTACTTCTCCAGAATCCAAGGACTTTTTGAAAATTACAACCAGTGCATCCATTTTAGGACCAGAGGATGCGAGCCTTCAATGTCAGGGGACATATCTGCCTTTAGCTCCATTAGTTTATCGGATATTACTTCCCTCGTGATGGTGATGGCACTTAATTCCTCCTCTGTATTCTATAGTAATAATAGGATGGTCAAATAATCATAAATAATAATCCTAAAATGCAAAATATTGTTTCACTCCTCTGCCATTGTCCTGTCCCGGAAAACCATCTCCCCAGCTTCACTTTCCTCATTGACTTCTCTCTTTCTATATATTCAAAGAAGCTCTTATTGTCAGTTTTTATCTTCCTTCTAGTTTGCTCTCTTGGTTTATTTTCTCCATCTTTATTGGGGGAAAGTTGCCAGCCGGCTTTCCACACCCTGCCCTTTCACCCCCTCACCCTCACCCTGACCCCTTCATCCCCTCCATCCTTACCCTGACCCCATCCCCTTGACCCTTCACAGCCCAAACCCTCATCCTGACCCTTCACCTCCCCCCCCCCTCCAAGCCCTCCCCTTTTTCCTGTCCCCCTGACCCTACATGCCTCTTGTTGATTTGACACTGAATTCTATGGTTTTGTTTGAAATGCAGGAAGAAAAGGAGGGCGACTCCTCAAAGGATTCCCTGGAGGATCTCTTTCCAGAGGAGGAAGAACATGGCACAGGAAGTAAGCTCCTCACTCCCTCTATATATTTTGCTCTCGCACTCTATCTCTGATCTGCTGCATTCCTCTACCTCCCGCTCTTCCAGTCTCTTTTTCTCTCTCTCTCTCTCTCTCTCTGTCTGTGTCTCTCTCTCTCTCACACCCCCCATTCTCTGTCTCTCAATACTCTCTTTTTCTCTCCCTCTTCTGCACCCTCTCACGCTACCCCCACCAGCCCCTCTCTTCCCTCCCAAACTCCCTAACTCTGCCCACCCCCACCTTGGCCCACCAAGCCTGTACCAACACGTGACACCTTTCTAATCTAAAAATTTTTTGCCTCTACACAGTCTGTATCCCTCTATTCCCGGCCTGTTCATGTAACTGTCATGGTGCCTATTAAACGTTACTAATGTATCTGTCTCCACCACTTCCTCTGGCAGTGAACTACAGGCAAACCTTGCCTGTTACATCTCCTTTAAACCTTTGTCCCCTCGTCATTGACATTTTTACACTGGGAAAAAGACTCTGACTATCCATTCTGTCCACACCTGTCATAATATTGTAAACCTCTATCAGGCCGCCCCCTCATCATTCAACATTCAAGTGAAAACAAACCAAGTTTGTCCAATCTCTCCTCTTAGCTAATATGCTCCAAACCGGGCAGTGTCCTGGTAAACTGTTTCTGTACCATCTTCAAAGCCTCCACATCCTTCTGGTAATGTGGCAAGCAGACCTGTACACAATGTTCCAAATGGGGCCTAACTACAGCTCTATAGAGCTGCAACATACTTGCCAATTTTACTACTCTTTCTCTGACCAATGAAGGTAAACATTTCACTTCCATTTGTGTTGCCACTTTCAGGAAACTGTGTTCCTGTACATCTACATTCCTCTTCATCTTGATGCTACCAAGGGTTCTGTTATTTACTGTATACTTCCCTCCTGCATTAGATATTCCAAAATGTACCACCTCACACTTGCCCAGATTAAACTCCATCTGCTATTTCTCCACCCATGTATCCCGCTCTATCCTCTGGCAATCGTCCTTGCTATCCGCAGCTCCCCCCATCCTTTGTGTCATCTGCAAACTTACTAATCAGACAATCTACATTCTCCAAATCATTTATATATGTAACAAACAACAGGGGTCTCCGCACTGATCCCTGCTCACAGATCTCCAGTCAGAACATCATCCTTCCACATCTACTCCCCGTCTTCTATGACTGAGCCAGTTCTTTATCCATCTTATTAGGTCACCGTGTATCCCATGTGACTTCACCTTTTGTATCAGCCTGCCATGAGGGACCTTGTCAAAGGCCTTGCTAAAGTTCATGTAGACAACATCTGCCCTGTCATCATCAATCATCCTTGTTACTTCCTCAAAAAACTCAAATCACATTTGTGAGACATGACCTTCCCAGCACAAAGCCATGCTTCCTGTTGCTAATAAGTCCATATTTTTCCAAATGTGAATAAATCCTGTCCCTAAGAATCTTCTCCAATAATTTCCCTACCATTGATATAAGGCTCACCAGCCTGTAATTTCACAGATTATTCCTGTTGCACTTCTTAAATAAAGCAACAACATTGGCTGTTCTTTCAGTCTCTCTCTGTTTCCATGCTGTGAGACTCTGACCTGGTCTCTTGCTCTCTGTCTGTCTCATGGTCTATTGCTCTCATTCAGTCTTTCAGTCTTTCACTCTTGGTTTCTCTCTCTCTCTCTCTCTCTCTCGTTGTCAATCTCTCTCGCCCTCGGTCTCTCCCCCTCTCGCCCTCGGTCTCTCTCACATTCTGACAGTTTTGCAGTGGTGTATTTTTAAATCCACTCTGTGTGTTTCTCTCTCCCGCAGTCAGTCACCCTCACAGCAGCAGTGCTGTTGCAGCTGCTCAGCAGGGTGGCTATGAGATCCCAGCCCGCCTGCGGACCCTGCACAACCTGGTGATCCAGTATGCCTCCCAGGGACGCTACGAAGTGGCAGTGCCCCTCTGCAAGCAGGCACTGGAGGATCTGGAGAAGACTTCAGGCCATGATCACCCTGATGTAGCTACCATGCTTAACATCCTGGCACTGGTCTACAGGTGAGTACAGCACCGGGTACAGGGTACACACTGCCAGGCAACCCTTTCTCTGTGCCCACACACTGGCTTCCTGTGCCTCTGTGGTCTCTGTCTGGATGCAACCTGGCCATATCTGGTGTGTGCTGGAGCAACTGAGCTTGGCTCTCTCTCATCCCAACCTGTTCTGTCTCCACACAGGGACCAGAATAAATACAAGGAGGCTGCCCATCTGTTAAATGATGCCCTGTCCATCAGAGAGAAGACCTTGGGCAAGGACCACCCAGCTGTAAGTGGAACATGCTGCTGGGTCTGGCAGGGAGATTGGACAACAGCATGTGGGACCTGGCTCTCAGCAAGCCATGTCAAATCCCACTCCCACCCCAAAAACTCCCCCCCCCACACCATCAAACCCCACCCCCCACACCCCCTCCCACCCCCCCCCCCCCCCGCCATCAACCCCCACCCCCCCCACGCCATCAAACCCCACCTCCCCCACGCCATCAAACCCCACCTCCCCCACGCCATCAAACCCCACCCCAGACCACTAAAAGCTGTCACCAGTTTGAAGAGGAAGCATAGGCTGTGTATCAATTCAACACTAAATTCGAGCTTCTCCTGCCCAATCCAAAACTACGCACACACTAAGCATGACAACACAGGAAACCCTGCAAAAGCACAGTGTTAGATACAGCGTAAAGCTCACTCTACACTGGCCCGATCAGGCACTCCCAGGACAGGGACAGCACGGGGTTAAATACAGAGTGAAGATTAAAGTTCCTTCTTTTCTTATTTCAAGTCATAATGTTGGGCTTCAGGGAGAATAGTTCCCAGCTTTTAGACGTTGTTGCCTGACAGATTGCTGTTTGTTGCGTGCAGGTAGCAGCAACACTGAATAACCTGGCTGTTTTGTATGGCAAACGAGGCAAATACAAAGAAGCAGAGCCTCTGTGTAAGAGAGCACTGGAAATCCGGGAGAAGGTAAGCACACCGTGCCTCCAATGCAGTGTGATGACAACCAGTAACAGGATGGGGCTGTCAAACAGTTCACAACAATGCAGAGATATCCAACTCGAACTGCCTCAATATCATGGCCTATAGTCGGGTGCAGAGGGAAATAAGGGCTGCCCCGTCAATGAGGGAGCGCCGCACTGTCGGAGGGTCAGCGCTGAGGGAGCGCCGCACTGTCGGAGGGTCAGCGCTGAGGGAGCGCCGCACTGTCGGAGGGCCGATACTGAGGGGGAGCTGCACTTTTGAGTGTCCTCTGTAGCCTGATAAATATGTGCGTAAAATGTGTGGTGTTGAATATCCTTTATTGTCATATGTATTCAATATAAAATACAGTGAAAAGTGTGTACCGTTGCTGTGCATAAGGACAGAAGACAGATTCTTTGGCCAGTTCATTCTCAGGAGCCAGGTTTGTGTTTATTCGTCAAGAACTGTGGGTATTGCTGGCTGAGCCAACATTTTGCCCATCCCTAAGCCATTGCACTCTTTGATGTGTCCAGACATCCACAATAGTCTTCAGGAGGGAGTTCCATGCATTCTACAAAGCAACTCTGAAGGACAGATAATGTTTTTCCAAGTCAGGGTGATGTCTGATTTGGAAAGGATCTTGTAAGTGGTGGAGTTCCCATGCATCTGTTAACGTTGTCCTTTAGGTGGTAGAGTTTGTGAGTTTAGAAGATGCCTGGCAATATGCAGCAACCCAAGATTAATTCATGATCATACAGTCAAGGAGCGTTTAGGAAACCATATTGATAACATGATAGAATTCGACATTCAGTTTAAGACTGAGGAGCTGGAGTCTGAAACTGTTGTCTTAATCTTAGAAATGGCTCCTACAAGGCAATAAAGCAGAAATTGGCTAAAACGAACCAGAAAAATAGGTTAAAAAGAAAGACATTTGAGCAGCAGTGGTCGCCCCTTTAATTACACTTATGAAGGTGTTGAGAAAAGAATACTCAGGGAGAAGGAAGCCCCAGTGTTGTTCACAAGGGAACCAAACAACAGCAGCTACATCAGGGAAAACACAATGATATTGTGAACATTATAATCTGATTATAATGCAGAAGATTGCACAGGTTTTCAAAACTGGCAAAGAATGACGAGAGAAGTTGCAGCATGAGAGACATCTGGCGAGGAATATACAAACAAATGAAAGAGCCTCTGAAAGTATTTAAATTGAAAAGAGCAGCTGAAGTGAGCACTGTCCCTTCGACTGAGAGATTGGGGAATTGCTACTTGAAATAAGTATGTTTTGGAAATTTTGAATAGTTATAATGTCTGTCTTCACTGTAGAACACAAATAACAGATACAGTATGAATGGAACTCAGAAGGTACAACTTGAAGAAAGTGTTTCACAAATGTCCTGGAGTTTTTTGAGGCAGTAACTAGAACAGTTGAGGGTGAACTAGTGGATATATTGTATTTGAATTTTCAGAAACATTTTGATAAGGTCCTTCAACAGAGGATAGTGGGCAGTATTAAAAGCCAGTAGGGGGTAATATATTGGCACGGGTTAAGTGTTGGTTGACGGTCAGGAAACTGACCGTGTGATTAAATAGCTGTTTTTCCAGATTGTAGGCAGTGACTAGAAACATACTCCAAGGACAGTGTGCTTTGGCTGCAGCTATTCACAGTATGTATAAATGACCTTGACTAGGGAACTGAAAGCAATATTACCCAGCATGCTGACAATACAAAACTGGGTGGGATTGTGGGTTAGGAGGAGGATGCAAGGAGGCTTGAAGATGATTTAGACAAGTTGATTGAATAAGCCAGCACATGGCAGAATCGCTACAAAATGGCTAAATGTGAAACTATCCAATGTGGTGTGAGAAACCATAAGGGCAGAGTATTATATAAATGGTGATCTATTGGGAAGTGTGGTTGTATGGAGGGATCTAGGTATCCCTATAGATCAGTCAGTGAAAGGAGACAGGCACATGATACATTGGCCCCCACTGCAGTAGGACTGAAGTTGAGAAATAGTGATGTCTTACTGCAGTTAGACAGGGCCTTAGTGAGATCACACCTGGAGTACTGCATACAGGTTTGGTTTCCCTACCTAAGGCAGGATAGAGGCAGTGCAGTGAGAGGGTCTCTAGCCTGGTACTGGGGATGGCAGGACCCTGCTATGAGGAGACATGGGTTCAACTGGGCCTGTATTCACTCGAGTTTAGAAGGATGTGAGGGGATCTGACAGAAACACATAAAAAATAACAGGGCAAGACAGACAAGATACAGGGAGGATGTTTTCCCTGGTTGGGGAGTCTACAGCCAGCCATCACTGTTTCAGGATACTGAGATAAGGAAACATTTCTTCATTCAGGGGAGTAAATCTGTGGGATTTACTACAACACACAGCTATGTGACTGGTCATTGAGTGTATTTAAAAAAAAGAGATTGGTAATTTTTTTGATTTTCATGACATCAAAGGAAATGTGTAGTTTGCACATTTGCCCTATGTCTGTGTGGGTTTCCTCCCACAGTCCAAAGATGTGGAGGTTAGGGTGGATTAGCCAAGCGAAAGTGCCCATAGTGTCCAGGGATGTGCAGGCGAGGTGATTTATTCATGGGAAATTCGGGGTTATGGGACTAGGAAGAGATGTCCTTTGAGGGCTTGGCACAGGCTCGATGGGCCAAATGGCCACATTCCATACGGTAGGGATTATTTATTTGAAGACAGCAGGAATATGGCATTAAAATAGAGGATCAGCCATGATCGTGTTGAATGATGGAGCAGGCCCGATGGGCTGAATGGCCTACTTGTACTCTTTGTTTCATAATCTGTGACTCCCTGTTGCCTTCCCATCTACTTTTGTGTCATCCGCAAACTTGGCTATCATATATTCACTTTCCTGGTCCACGTGTTATATTGTAAATAGTTGTGGCTTCAGCACTGATTCGTGTTGCAGCTGTCATGAGCTATCTGCACTATCTCACATTCTGATATGGTTATTTTCTTGACATAGGTCTTGGGCAAAGATCACCCTGATGTAGCCAAACAGCTGAATAATCTGGCGCTGCTGTGTCAGAACCAGGGCAAGTATGACGAGGTGGAATACTATTACAGACGGGCTCTGGAAATCTATGAGTCTCGGCTCGGACCTGACGACCCAAACGTGGCCAAGACGAAGAACAACCTGGTGAGCTGTCAGGCCTGTGGGTGGGGCTGCGTGAAGATGGGACCGTGGTGTGGGCAGGGGCTGGGGAGAGGGTAGGGCAGTGGACCGAGTGGGACCCTGATGAGGGTGGAGGCAGTGGAGTGAGCGGAACCCCGGTGAGGGTGGGGGCAGCGGAGTGAGCGGGACCCCGGTGAGG